TGCATACACTAATCAGGTTGCAACTTTAAGGAGGCAATGAAAATTAGTTCAAAGTTATTAGTTAGTTAACTGCCAGATGAAACTTTTCTCTTACTATATATGTAACTTGATCATGCAGATACTTACAAAAAGTACCTAAAATAAACTCAGCCGCTCAAGGATGGGTACACTTGCCCACCAAAGACGACGTGCTTCCGTATCCATGGACGCGCTGGAGGGGTGGGCAAGTCGAGTCTTATTGAACCTCCTTTCTTGAAACAGTAGGCAGCTTACTCGTGTCAGCCACACTCAGTCGGCGCATAGAGAGTCCAGACACCTCTGAACCATCTGTCCGAGTCCGAGATGTGTCAACATCACCGTTCACCGACCAGTGTGAGATGGTGGACATCGACCGTCAGGCACGCCATGGTATAGGCCCACACCAGTCGACATCTTCTTCACAAAGAAGGAGAAGAGGGTCGTTAGCTACAGAGGACGGAAGAGCCACTCTCTTAGCACCTGAAAATATGATATCTAAAGATAGGACCACTACACAACATCAAAGAATAGCCAGCCTGACAGAGAAATCAACGCCCCTAGTGCATTTCTAAAATCAAAGAAAGGTCTATCCCGCTTGACCTCTACGATTAGTTTTCGAAGCTAGCTCATTGCTTAAAAAATCTCTCACAAGCTCTCTTGGTGATGATACAGAGCACATTGATATTCTCGTATCCCGAATTAAAGACAGCTTCCAAGAAGATAATGGGCGCAGAGCCGAATAAGGTACTTGATCTTGTGGCTGCGACTACTCCATTCGCCTCCTTGAACTCGGGAGGCAGCCACAGTTCCATGAAGTCACGCTCAATTGTCCTGCCAGCTGTACGGGCATAATCTCAGTCTCAAGCTGTCCTGAACGCCTTGACGTCCACGGAGAAGTTGTTTTCTACGCAGGAAGAGAGAGCAGGCCAATGAGCCTTACGAGAGTCATACCTCACAACGAGCAGGTTATTCGTCATGATTTGCTGGCCTTGCAGTCTGAAGGCCTGCACAATCTTTAACTGAGATGCCTAATCTTGCTTTCGTGGCACATTTCTTGATCAGCAGGATGCTTGCACAGACGAAACGCCTGACAAAAGATAAGTGCTTCATTCCAATAATCACAAAATCCTCCCCGAAAGCTTCAACAATGTATAATAAGCAACGCGAATCACTGCAACATGTTACATTCGGTTGAACACAAGACGCCTAGTGCCCATGATTACGAGACTGCCGGACGGCTAAAGAAAGCTTTAACCAAGAAGTCACAATAGAGTCCAAAAATCTCCCCCTAAAGTGGTTTGGATTCGAAGTAGCACTGCAAAACTATGGATATCCCCTCGGACGTCAGACTCTAAGTCTACAGGAGTGTGAATTTGTTGGCTATCATCTTGACTTCGATGGCCTATCGCTTATAGCCTGCCTCAATTACTTGCGTGAGCTCAACATTATATCCTTCTATGATATCCTTCCCGATGTTATTTTTGGTAGCTGTCAAGTCATCCTAGATAAAATTACGGAGATCATTAGGTACAGCCTCGAGTTGAAGAAAGGAAATCACCCCCTTAAAGGAGCAGATCGAAATTTCAACCAACAAGGCATCCTTTCGTTCGATATACTAAAGTCAAAAGCCTGCTCTAAGCACTATAACAAGTACTTCACACAAGAATGCCTACTAAAAATTCTCCAGTCGCTTTACATTATCACCAAAGTTGGGGAGGGGAAATACCTCATGCCTTGTGTTCTTGAGGTAAGCGACATATACCCACCGAATCCTCCTACAAACAGCAACGTCCGATCTTCCTTTGTCCTCCACTTCTCAAAGAAGAGCCCAATGCTTGGAATCTACTGCTGCACCATCTCTTACCTTTTGACCAAAGCCAGTTGGAAGCTTTTGAGCAAGGGTGGAGAGGTAGTTCAGGTAGCTAGGAACAGCATCAGTTTTCAGCTTCCTCAGGAACTTCCAGGACAACTGACTTTCCTCGATCCCCTCTCCTCATACCTGGAAGTTGTAGTCGAGTTTCCAGCTGTTGTTACAACTAAGCATCGCACTCTCCTCTATCGGGAAATCCGTGAGACTTTTTTCGTAGCAATAAAACAAGCAATGCAAAACCTTCACTATGATGTTAGAACGCCCGAATTGTCCTTTCTCTGCCCCGTGCAAAGCTCTCGATGCTCCACCTTGCCCCATTTCGCCAGAGCCAATTTGACTCACAGTTTTCTCACATGCTCCATTAGTCCAGACAGTGTGACTAGTCCTATAACTCCCGACCAGGAAATCTGGCTCACCACTCCTGCAGAAGGTAAGTTTTTCATCAGGTTTCATAGCATCCTTTGCCTTGTGTTGTGTTGGTATTTAGCCTTGCCTGCTCAGCATCCCTGGTATTCTGCCTAAGGAGCATTTGCCATTGGGTTCAAGTCCCAGCTCATTTAAAAGAGTGGTGTTGTTGATTTGTTTCACCTTGCCTTAGGTTTAGCTACACCCAGAGATTCATTCAAGTATGCTTCCAGCTACAGTGACAGCTATTGTTTCCCCTCGCAGGTCCTGAAAAGGAGACAAAACCAAGACGACAGAAAAAAGCCACCGCAGCTCCTCCTATATCAAGTATGTATTTTGATCTGTCACAGAAATGTCAATACTTTTAGAGAGAAAACTATACTCAAATTGCAACCATTTATTTTTCAAATGCAGTCATAGGTGATCAACCAAACGACTGACTTTGATAGATTTACCTTTATGAGTTGGAGCATATTGCTACAAAAATGGGCCATGCAGGACCCTGACACCTTATCCAGCATGTTTTCAAGCGTAAAAGAAAGCACACTGCTACCAATGATTATTGTCCAAGACAAAAAGAAGAAAATTTCTCTTTGTGGCTAGACACATGATATTATTTAGCAATGGGTATGGCGTTTCTTTTTCTAGTCTCATGCGAAAGGCCAACACTGCCGGAGTTGATCAAGATGAAGTTGCCATCACGAATTGGACCTAAGCTACAAACATTCAGCACACTCCTTCTCCAAGATGAATTTGGAGACATAGTGGCCAACATTGTTGAAGATTGCCGCGGAAAGACAGAAAAAGTCATAATGGAGATTCTGAGGGCGTGGCTGGCAGGGAAGGGGGTGGAGGTGTCGTGGGAGAGCCTCATAGCAACTCTGAGAGACTGCGAACTTTCACTTATGGCCGACCAGATACAGATGGCACTGGATCAACTACGATCTTGATGCATTGTGCTCCTAAATTTTCATGTTGACAATGTATTATGTTTTTGTAAATCATTATTTTTTTATTTGTAATGGAATTTTTTGTATCATTCTTTATTTTTTTGTATCATCTTTTTTGACATGGTAGGCTCTGGTCTGACATGAAACCCACATCAGTGTGTGATATGCTTGTACATGGATTTTTTAATTTTTTACTCCGCGCACATTCCAAGTAAATATCCGATCGTGATGCTGAGAGCTACAGTACAGCTGGTGTTTGTTTTCACTGTGTGTCATTATCTATTATACCACACAGTAAATCCCTCATCTGTGGTGCCACTGCTGTTTATATCACATTATTAGGGCAGATAACGAGAGGTCTAACAAAAGAAATTTACTATACATTTCAGCCATGCACAATGATTTTCATGCATATTGTTGAACCTCGACCCCTTTTTTCGTATATAGCAATAAAAAAAGCAATGCAAAAACCTTCACTATGAGGTTAGAACGTCCGAATTGTCCTTTCTCTGCCCCGTGCAAAGCTCTCGATGCCCCACCTTGCCTCATTTCGCCAGAGCCAATTCCACTCACGGCTTACTCACATGTTCCATTAGTCCAGACAGTGTGACTAGTCCTATAACTCCCGACCAGGAAATGTGGCTTCCTGCTCCCCCAAGCTGTGAGTTTTCCTTTAAGCACTAAAGAAACTCATAATAATGTTATTTCATTATTGCAGCTTCACACCAAGATAACACACGAAAGAAAAAAGCAGCAACTGCACCGGCTTTAAAAGGTATGCAGTTGAACACAGTATGACTAGTGTGTGTATTAATCCTTTCCTTTCTTTAGTCTCATCTTTACGTCCAAGTTTGCCACAACTGCTTGCAATGGATTTGCCTCTGCGAGTCACAGAAAAATTAGAGACATTTGGAACCTTCCTTCTCAATGATGAGACTGGGGACAAGATGGCTATAATGAGGGAGAAGTTTATGAGGGACCCAGAGAAGATTGCAATTGAGGTTCTCAGGGATTGGTTGGCAGGGAAGGGGGTGGAGGTGTCGTGGGAGAGCCTCATAGCAACTCTGAGGAAGAGCAAACTCTTACTTATGGCTGAACAGATACAGATGGCACTAGACCAACTACCATCTTGACAAACATTCACGTCATGTCATTATTGTATCGCACTCCAGTTAACCTCTAGCTAAGCTATAAAAACCTGTGTCTGCCTATTTAACTCTGGGCGCGCATGCGCAGTTAGGGTTACAGTAGTCGTTCTGTCAGTCGTTTTTGTCTGTCTGTCTGTGTGTCTGTGTGTGTCAACGCTTATTCTGGCACTACAGGCTACGAAGCGGCCCATGAGCGATACAACGGCTTCAGAACTACACGAACCTTACAAACGAAATACCGATACCAAAGGCGTTCGCCGTAGGCTTAGTAGCTTTGTCGCGCGCACTCGCTCGCGGAGCCCCCACCCCCTTATTATTTGCGTGCGGTGGTTTGTGGGCGGGCGTGAGCTGCCTGGCTATCTACTATGTACTTACATGGCAAGGAGGGAGATGGGCTCAAAGCAGACACAGAAAAAGATATCAGTTATTTTGACATTTTGTACAGATCATGTGGATACATTTCCTACATGAAATGCTGTTGAACTTGTTGAAAATCAACAGAAAAAACAAGGTTTCATATCATGTTTTCATGTTACTTTTATTGGCTCACAAGGTTCATATGATAAATCAGGAACCTCATACTAACAAATCTGATTGGTCGATTCGAATCAGCTATGCACTAAGGGTATGTATCTTCTCCCGCATGCCTCTCAACATAATTCTTTCGAATTACCTATTACTATTATTTTTTTCAACCTTAGATTGTATATACGACATATTTTCACGAAAACAATCGGTGGACAAGATAAAACAACATTAGAGGCATGGTCAGTATTGTTTTTGAAGAAGCCTCTCAACATTCGGATTGCCCGCCCATTTCCGTTTTTGGCGCAGATTTCCCTAGGTTCATACCGTTTTGTACAGAAAACTGGCGCCACAAAACTACCACTCTTTATGTTGGGTTTGTGTGTAATTAACCCTCGACGCGCATGCGCAGCGAGGGTTACTGTAGTTGGGTTTGTCTGTCTGTTACTCTCAATCTCACTTCACGGATGTTTCTTCGTCTCACAAAGGATACGACCTACTTAACGGGCAATGAAGGTCAGAAAATAAAGGCGGTTTTCTCTGAAAACGTTCCGTTGCAAAGCTAGAGCGCATCCGGCATTGTACGGCTAATGCCCGTAGACGCCATTTTATGCTCCGGAAAATGCGCATGCGCTTATATTCAGCACTCGACCGGGTCCGCTTGCTCTGTGTATCTTGAAGGCACAATAAGGCACAACGAATGGCGTGTATCGACTCTCGCATGCTATCTATTGCTGTAGCTAGCCCGTGTCAGACTCTCTGCGAGCTACTAGCGGGAGACCGCGAGTAAACGCACACTAATAGCCCAGCCCATCAATTAGCGGTACCGCGCATATGCAGTTCGCCGAGGGTTTGCACTTTAGTGCTTTTCATTTTTTCTATAGTGATGAAGATTATTCACTTAGTGCTGCCATTAATATATACGCAGAGAAGGTTAAAGTACTAGGCTAGCGAGAAAGTGACAACGGAGTATAGGTTCCACGTTTCTAGTGCGCCGAGGGTTTTGACTTTAATTAAAAGTTCAAAAGGTGATTAATTAGCCCTCGGTGCGCATGCGCAGCGAGGGTTTGGTTTGTTTGTGTGTCTGTTCTGTCACTAGGCGCAACGAGACAGCCAATAAGCTATGCCAATAGGTTCGCTATACTGGATTTTGAATCCGGCGATTTTCGTAAAAAATACTGCGTTCGAAGAGTGATGGCGTGAAAAACAAGTGAACAAGCCAATATGCAAATTAGCACAGACCTCAACAAGATGTGCTTGCTCTGCATACCTTTGAGGCTCGAGAAGTCTCAACGGAGGGTGTGTATCGACTCCCGCACGCTACTACTGTAACTAGCCCGTGTCAGACTCTCCGCGAGTTACTAGCGGAAGACCACGAGTAAACGCGTACTAATAGCCCAGCCCATCAGTTAGCGGTATCGCGCTTGCGCAGTTCGCCCTTATACGTAACCTACGAGATTGCGAAAGTGTATATACGCCAAACCCAACATACCTACCAACCATCAAGCTTTTTGCTTGATTGTCAAGCAAAAATACTCCCTATCCCACCAGAAAATCGCCAAATCCCTCTTTTTTGTGCTAACCTGTGATGCATTATGCCCATATATACATTGTCCAGCATTTTCAAGAAAAAATACTCCAAATCAAGCAAATTTGACACATTTCTTAAGCAAAGGTTTATCTGCAGGTTGGTAGGTATGACCCAGGCATTTTTGTTATTGCGAATAGCCATGGGCCAGTACCATCTATACAGGCAACTTTGGAAAAGTGTATATATGCAGGGTGTCCTTTCTCGAATAATGAAGTTCAACAAGAGCCCATACTGACAGTAAAGGTCCATAATTATAATAATGTACAAACGAGTCTAAAAGGCAGTTGCCTGGTTTCGGCGTACACAGCAAACTTTGATGGCATGATTGGCTATAGCAACTTTCATCTATCCTGCTGGCTCTGTAACACATAATGTTGTCTGCTAGGAATTATGTAAGCCCTTCCCATGCTATGATTCACACCATTTCCCGCATGCCATGCTATGATTCACACCATTTCCCGCATGCGTATGAGGTCGTTATGTATGTTAGTGTAACCAAGTATATACTACAACACAAACAACACAGGACTATGCATTTGCTTAATCAGGAGATTTTCCATCAGAACAGCAAAAAGTTAAAGTGTGTCACGATCAGCTACCCTTTGCCTGACGTTAGAGTCAGACCAAGACACCCAAATTGAGTCTCAGCCCAAGGTGGGGTAGCCTTCAGATCGATCAGTTTATCAAGTCCATGGAATCCCAGAGCCACTCCTGCATACATCCACTTCGCAAACCTTTCTTGCAATATATCTACATAATATAGGTTGAAATCACTAGCTCTTTAGATAACACAATTCTTATCTGGCAGACCTGGACGTCCCAGCCACAGATAATTTCTTGTGGGCGTAGATGAACCATCTCCATTGTACAAGCTGTAAAATTTTCCAATTGATTCCAGCAGTGCCTGTTCATCGAGTTTCATCTCCCCTTTCCTCTTAAAAACTGTAGACCATTAAAAATTTGCACGAACACATTAAAAACCTTAAGCCAATGTTTAACCACGACTCAACGACATCATCACTGTTGAACTCATCCATCCACACTCTTCTAGCCATCATTGTAACTATTTTACATGACAGCTAAATATAATTTCAGTGAAGGATTCGCGAAATGTTTTTTACCCAATGTGTACATACCTGTTTCATTTTTAACAATGCATGGAATACATTCAGTTGGTATAGCTACTAAACAAAACTCACTGGGGAAAATGTCTTTCTCGTCAGCCTATATACAACAAATTATGTGTGATTCATCTATAATTATTGCATACAAACATGCAACCAACCTCAGAATTTGGATCAGAAATATAAAAAGGGCAGATAAATTTGGAAAGAGAGTCTTCTACGCCCTGCACATCTGGATTAATCAGCCAATAATACAGTTCCAAATAATTGAACTCGGTCTCTTACCATTAACAAAATATTCATCATCATTCTTGACATTCTCGTCGTCATTCCCTCTGAATAAGCTTGTATATTCTGAGTTTGTTTGCTATAAAAAGTAGGCACGTGTAGAAAAAGGTAGCTTACTGAAGCAAAAACAAGGTGCCTTTGGAAAAATGAAAATTTCCGAATTCATTGTCACAAACACCTTCTCAGACTCTGCATGTATAAATAAAGAGAAAAATATTAATGAAGACAAAAATGATTGAAAACAACCTCCTTCATCTTCCTCCTCGACGCAATTGGTAGGTGTTACAACTGAGCTCTCTGAGCTAGTTTCCACGTGACAAAAAATTATTTCCTCTTGGAGAGTGGGACACATGACAACAGCTGGTCTAACACCATCTCTTGAAGAACGATCATCGGTCAACATAGTATTATTCTAGGATACCCAAACATATTCATTACTGCAGCACTCCAATGTTTAGTGTACACATACCTTTCCTCCCCTATCCTCACTATTACCACTGTTTGTCTCGTTGTCAGTGTTGATGTTTGTGGTAGGTACATTTCTACCATGAACTCCAGTTACCATCTCTTCTCCAACTTCCCCTCCAGTGCCTCCTCCCTCCTGACTTTGACTCATGATTGCTTCTCCCCCTTGATCTGCACCCCCTCCATCAATGCCAGTATCAGCAGATACCTCTTGTGGGGTCTTAGACACTACATAATAATAATAATTATTCATTCAACATGAATATTGTATATTGTACACAGCACTGCACAGTATTGTTCGTCAGTATCGTACACAGCACTGCACATATAATTATAGCTACTGCAATGTTTTTTGTTCCTGTTTAAGGACGAAAACATTACTGGCCCTGTTCGTTTCAGTGTTGTAAAAATGCCAAACCTTTAACAAAAGCTGTTGTGTGTACAATTTTGCAAGTGTCTAATGATGTTTACTCTGTCATTTGCACACTAAGCATGTTGCTGTGGGAGTCTGGCACAAGAACCAGGCGTGTGCATGTCTTGCTCCCACTCGCCTGACATACACCACATTTACAAACTAGTGTATATTGCTAGATACCATGTTGTTGACATGTGCCTCGGCATGTTTCCTCTTGGGACAGAATGCATGTTGTTGCACCATTCTCAGAGAAGTGCGACGAGTTATAGGCTTACCACTGGATTGATCTCCCTCCTCCACTGAGTATTGCTGCACTGGGCAACTGTTTATTCCACTATCTCCAGCCTCAATTACTTGCAGCTCCTCACCACTGATGATAGGGTTCTCCTCTTGAAGCATGGAACAGCTCAGACATCTTGGTGTATCTTGTTTAAGGCCCAAACAGGGTTCAGCATTCTGAGAATTAGTATATAACAACAGGAATTGATGTGAAATTCATTATTTCACGGAAACAACTTACATCAATATTTGCATTGTCACCAATTGCATTGTCGCCAGTTGAGTATGTGTCATCCTGAGCTCCAGGCACCACCTCGGCATCAAAGCAGACACACTCCTGAGCTGTGGTGGCCATCTTACTAACACTCATCTCACTGGGTTGAGGAGGTGGGGCTAGAAAAAATACACAACTATTTGCTTTCCTCACTGTCTACTTGCCACTTTACAAGAAACTATTGTGCATATTATAAGTCCATAGTTACATTAATGGGGGACATTTGTGTTCAATGCCAACAAGCTACTATAATGCATCAGTCTGATAAGGAAGGTGCATGTGTGACAATGCTAGTAAAGCCCTAGAACTTCTTACTACTTTCTACCTTTTTTCATAGCAAGGCGTGCCAGCGCATATTCCCCCATATCAGAGAGTACAACAGATAGTGCTTCCCACGTTGGCTGTAGTCTTGCCACCCACTGCTCCACACAGTCCTGCAGACAGGCCTCGTTCATCTCATTGTTGGTGTATATCTCATCAATCAGATCCTCATTAAAACCCAGACCCTCGGCTATCATCTTCCAACGACCTGCCACTCCCATTAGTAGTGATATCACTGACTCAACTGTAGGGAGTGCTAGGGAGATAGGGAGAGTGAGAAAAGGTTAAAGTTGGAGGATGTTTACCGTATAGCTACCAGGAAACATTGTTGAAGATAAAATTCACGTTTCAGCAGCAAACATGCTGCAAATATTTCACAGGTAATGTTGCTAAATTTTTTCTCCAACATAATATATATATATATGCAGACACAATAATGACCAAACCTCTAGTAAGAGTTGTCTTGTGTGCACTCTGTATCCCTGTATAGCACATGTATTGTAGCCACTTAGCTACATGGAATTTCAATTACTCACCACAGCCTGTAACAGGATTAGTGGTCTGAGGTACAATACTAACATATGGCGATTCAGTCTTGGTGTCAATCCTCTTGGTTTCTGGCCTATTTGCCGGAGCAGGTCCCAACTCAGCATATGGACAATGAGCCATTCTCTGGAGAGAGAGAGAGAGGATTACATAACACGAGACATGTGACTCTCGCATAATTCTCGGCTAACATCAGTAGCTCTGATGTTCAGTTGAGAATACTGGACCATGGAGTCCAGAGCGACAGGAGGTCGCACTCCTAACCAAAATGGCACAACAGTGGCATATGTACTCCTCTCAGTGACCGCGGATTGCTCTATTCTTTGACGGGTAGTAGTCACAGCCACAGCAACCAGAGAAGAAACAGGCAGCACAAGACTGGCAACCTGCAGGGAGTCTACAACGCAGCATTGACGGGAACTTGCGAAAGTGTGACTTGTGATGCGTCCAGTCAGCTAGGATAGAACCAATGACAGTGTGAAAGTAGCTAACCTATCACAGCGACATACAGGCATACGACCTTAAGCACTGCATCCTGTGGGTGCGAACAGCATACATAGCACTGTATAATGTCTGTCAGGATCACACTAAGAATGACAGGTTGCTGCTACTGCACGACAGCACATTGTACTTCACTGCCATGCTTACCCTGGAACATATAAAAACAGTGATAGCGCTAACAAACAAACCTTTTCACAACACTGAAACTGAAGGCAGGGGCAGAGCAGCGAGAGTGTACCAGAACACAGCTAATGCACACTTAGAGAAGGCATGACACCAACAAGAGACAACTAGACAACATACGCCTGAGCTCACTACGGAATACACCATGCACATACGGTATGAGCTAAAGACACATGTACAATAGCTCATTAACAGACACGTGTACATGGATATTTTCATACATACAGACGTTAGACACAAATTTACCGTCAATCTCTGGTGTAATTAATGATGGCTTCGGTGTTGGCCCAGCTGTAGTGAAAGGCAATTTGATTGTAAGTATTTTTGTGACTGTCCTGCTTGGTATATCAGCAACCAATTTAATCTCTTTAGATATTACAGGCCTTTCATCAATGTCATTAGTTTCTTCATCACTTTTGATCATTTTGAACACAGCAAAGGTATAGTTCATTGTTTCAGCTCGGTTCAGCTGTATCTTGAGGGGAAGATTATTTTTGTGCCTCAAATTCAGTGTTGAGTTTCCATGAGCTTTGTAGATGACAACAAATGATGCATTGTCTTCATCGTGAACACAGTTGATGGTTACATTATAGCCGTTTTGAATTATACTGATCATCATTGCCTGAGTGCTCTCAGCACTCTCGGTAAAATTATCTGTGATACATATGAAGAATGTTGAGAATTACCCTTTGTAAACAATCCTTTCACCCACACACAAAATAAGTTTATTCATGACTTGCATGGCCTATTTTTATAATTATCACAACTGTAGAAAAATTCTTCTCAGATTACGATCTAAATCGGGATGGCAAGGGTATAATCTTTCACCAATGAGAACACTTGGATAAATAATTCAGAAAACACAATACGGATGCTTCCAGCTAGCTACATAATTATAGTGACTTAAATCTAAGTTGTCCCAAAAGTGCAGCACAGATAATGATTCATTAAGTCAGTCTCTTTACTAGATATTTACACTCACCTGTTTCAATGATTACGGTCTGCTCATCAAGATTAGCAGGATGAGGGTTAGGAAGTCCATTTTCTTCTATATCGTATGCATGCACTGTGTACCTTGAAGGCGGCATTGGAATTTTCTTCATCAAACTTTGGTCAGTTACATTTCGCTTCAGCACAATAAAAAAAACAGAAAATGATTCAATGACCAGAAAAGTTCCTCTTGAATGAGACCCATTTATATATCTTCCTGTAACTTGGATTCCACCATCAACTGGCTCAGCATTGAAATCTTGAGTGTCAAATGTTGCTACACCAAATCACAAAAGACATTACTACATACACGAGAGCTTGTAGCTACATAGCTATTAGATACATATGCAGACTAATATTTTCTAACATCTTACTGAAATAATCTGAAGACACATTCTCCATCTTTCCATATTCTAATTCCACATCGAACGATGCGGAATACTTTCGTTTAGCAGGTAGAGTAAATATGACTTTTCCTCCTTCATCACCGGAAAAATTTCTTGTTTCTCTTCCAACACCATAGTCAAAAGAAATGTTAGTCACCGCGTTAAAATCTCCCTAGTATAATCGATAAGCAACATACACTGACTCACAAGTTAAAATCTAGACGTGGATAACTTACAATGATGTTATATACAACATTGCATTTGCTATCATTGACAAAAGTTATGTTCTCCCTTGCAAACTTTATTCCTGAAAATATGAAATAAAATCCACTATTAGCATTGAAGGTATGGCTACAAAACTCACCACCTACAGTAATGCTACTGCTCTCTCCTTGTCCAGCCCCATTCAATGGAACAATAGAGATGTTGTAGACATGACAATGACTGGGGTAGTCAGGAGTGAAGGTGTAGTGTGTCTCAGTGATATTGATACAGTCAGTACAGAGGATGGCTGTTGAGTCATCTGTCACATTGTATATGAGGACAGAGTACCAGATATCAGGATCAACACCTGTCACATTCAGAGAGAATGGAGCAGTCCAGGAAACAGTAACAGAGCTGGCATTGCTGATAGCTCTAAAATTAACAACCTTTGATAGTGGACCTGAGGAAACATAATCATCATTGAATCATATGGCACACATACCAAGTTCGAATTTAACCTGCTGTGATTTACTATACTTTGCAAAAGCATGCACTAGGTCTGAGTGAATTGATGTCACCAAGTGTTGGTGTCACTTAAAATCTTGCACCCCCTCCCCCATGAGCACATCATTTACCTTGAACACTCAATGAAACCGAGTCACTCTCATCAGAAAGCCCACCATTTATCAAGCACTTAACTGTAGTTCCATTCAACTCAACCCTGCCAATTATTGTTAGTCCGGTTTGAGGGTTCTCATTATTGATATAAAGGATCCAAATTGCTACGCAGCTCAAATGGGAGTTCGGGTAAAGGCTTCCCATTCACAGCCCAGCTAGGGAAACCGCCACTGACTTCACAAGAGAAAATTGCTGTTTGGTTTTCGAACACTGTTATATTCCTTGGAGGCTGAAGTATTTCTGGAGAGTTAGAAAACATTTTACAGGTTTTCTAGTAGTGTATAGCTTCTATATATGTATATAGCTACCTTGGGCAAGTGAAAGTGACACCAGTAGAAGCAAAAACATTGAAGCTCTATCTGTTATTCGAGGAACAATAATTATTGGGTTGAAACTGTTGTATTCACTCACCAGAAGACATTTTGCCACTTAATTAAACGGCAGTTGTTTCCTGCACACAAAACAATACGCGATAACAGGAGCAAGCATTCTGAGGACAGATTGTTACATCTTCCAACTTTCCATGTAACAATAGACCATGTGATGCCAAGAGAAAAAAGATGGGAGCTCTGGACAGCTGTTTCGGGCTTGTTAGCCCTCATCAGCAAAGCATACCCCAACTTCTCTCTCTGGCATCACGAGTTTATAAACGCAAAGTTGAGCGCAGCACTTGTGGTTTTGAACTAATGAGATTCATCCCCACTAGGCGTTGCGAGCCAAAACCCGAATTCAGCATGCTGACATAGCGGATTGGGCCGCGGCAATGAAGCCAGCAAGCACCCATATCCTGCCAGCGCATACACATGTAACAATAGACCATGCATTTTAATTAGTCCTCTCTGAAGCGCATATGGTGTGTTTGTAAGGCAAAAATGTATGGGAATCACAGAGAACTACATAGCCACAACTAGAAAACTGAGAAAGGGAAATATCTCTAGTTTTGCACAGTGTGTTGTGGCCCAGGAAAGACTAGCCTGGAGACCTGTGCCCACACCTCCCAGATATATATAAACTGGAGGCTAGCTAGTTGGTCAATGTACACATGGCTCTGTCAGCTGGCTCATGACTACAGCTCTCTTTAGCTCTGCTTTGTCATTTCTTAGTGTCCTTCTGCTTCTTGGCACTCGTCCAGGCCTTCTTAGCGCTAGTGTGTCACAAAGTGGGCTTGAGACCATGCAAGTCCGAGTATAAATTATGGACATGGCCGACGGATCCTAATCTTAGTAGTTTTGTAAAAAAATTTGCCCATGTACTGGACCCTTGAAAACGTACTATACATAACTTCTAGGTACCCTTGTGTTTTTCGAGTGTTTTAGTTACTTTCACAGCTCTACTAGAGCTTTGCATTAATGGCAGGTGCGTGAGATTGCCAGAAAAAAAGCAATGCTGTCTGGAGCAATGCTGACAGAATGAAAAGACCTGCTGGATAGTATTGGTGCAGTGAAACAGCCAGCCCACAAGTGTTGCAATCTTCCAAATTTGGTTGTTACTAAAGGTATATACTGTTCGCCGTGTCGCGGTTCATGCTCCTTTCTCGGGCTCGATATGTTCCTTATGTTAGCTGCACGTATCCTTTTTTATGTGGTGCTGCCAAAAGTCACAAATATACTATCCAAGTCAGTATTGCTGTACAAGTAAAAAAGGTAATTGAGTTAGCCAGCTATAGACATAATTAAGTACCTGATATGGGTGGATAGCTACCCCTGGATCACATGCCAAGAGGTGCCTCCGTATATAGGCTAGCCTGTCACGCAGGGACAAAGGCGTTCCAAAACTAAGTTGTGCAAGGGCACGGCTTTCTTAATTCCCGGATCCTCCCCCAATCACACCCACTTTTGAACTTTAGCATGCATCGAGGGGTCCGACACGGACCGTTATGCATGACGTACGAGATTTCTAAAAGCCCGTGATTTCCAACTGATTTCTGTACTAATTTCCAGATTTCCACGTGATATCAACTGATTTCCAGTTCCGTGATATCAAGAGATTTCCAGATTTCCACGTGATTTCCAGTGGATTTCTCTGTCTCTCGAGGGTGTGGCCGGCCGGCCGGAACGAGTGACACGCGTGTGCGCGCGCCGCAGCTAGCTGGCAGCAGGCCAAGAGGGACCGGGCGGGCCGGGCAGCCGGGTGGGCCTAGTTTACTACAGTCAACGGAGCTATACGGAGCAGTAAAGCGGCGCGCGCACAGCAACTTGATATCTGATTTTCACTTTTCACTTTTCGCTGATTTCCCAACTGATTTCTATGGATTTCTGACCATAAGCGTACGAGATTTTCGTACCCCTCGGCATGCCTTCCGGTTGCAGCGCGGCGCGGCCCCGGCGCCAGGCCCGGTAGCTCTGTGCCGATCGCGATCCTTACATAAGCAGCCGTACTATCTAAGGAGGATCGACCAAAGTTTAGTTCTGATGGGATTGGATGCAATATACGGCGCTGTAGTCGTTTCCACAGCGACGCACAGAACACACCATAGCTATAGCTACTACTTACCCTCATAAGTTACATCGGGTTTCAGTAAGTTGACGCAATCACTCTCGCGGGCGTATGACACGACTAGGTATTGCCTAACGGTATTATATTATGCATCACACAGCTATTCATGAACGTGGAATATAGCATGGCAACCACCACGGTAATGTTGATACCGCGGGGACATGAGACTGCATTTTATGAGTATGCTATCCTGCGCCGGTGTTGCACTTCATAGTAAATGAAGCATCAGCTATTTAAGAATGGTCCAAAGGTTATAAGGTGAGAATGAATCACTATGGCAACTATCACCTGGGTGGATGTAGGTCTAGGACGACCGAATCATGGTGTCTGGAGACTCCACCCGTGTTACTGCTTAGTAGCACATGGCTTTCCTCGTCACTGTGAGCGGCCCTATCTTTTCGTTCTTCCCTTTCAGTGGACTTGTATGCACTCTATTGCGCATTGCACAACACCACACACACTGTTTAGTGACAGTGGGAGTTGATTCGGTTTTTCCGTATAATATTTCAGCACACGGTTTCCGTATTAGGTTGCTGATTGTGGTTTGCAGTGATGTAATGTCTTCTGAGCTACTTGAACTTGTGCAACAAGTGATATAGGTGCTCCATTGTTTGTCAGTGGAGGAGGCTGTCCTTCCCATTCTCTCACTCTTTCTGCCCTCCACTTTTCACATTCTCCATGTCATCTGGGGGAGATGTTCGGTCTGTAGCTCTATTCCCTAAAAAACCATTTATTTCTAGTACCATAACCTTCCTATGCCCTCTCCAACCCTTTTCCTCCGTTCTACGCTCTGTAAAGCCCTTTCCTCCATTGGAAGACCATTCCTGACGTAGCCCGGAGTAAATGAATGAGGGAGAGGAGGGGCGGGGAGGAGGAGGAGGGTTGGGACAGGGGGAAAACCAACCATCACCAGTCTTGTGTCCTGGCTCTGGTCAGAGCTACATTCACTCCTCCATCCAGTCACACGAGCAGATTACGCAATCTAGGTAGCGAGTTTTGTATTTTTAAAACAATAGGCTACCACCAGGAAACTAAAATCTCTTGGTCGACTCATTGCAGGTGTGCATGGCCAATTGGAAGGAAATACTCAGGCACTTGCCTAACATGTGAAATAGTTGTAGTTTGGCGTGAAGGTGGAATAGGTGGAGGACACATTAGTGAAGAGAAGGGACAGGGAGTCAGGTGATGATCGAACAGCTGCTGTATGAGCATCTCCCTGTAGGTTCATAGCAGAGGAGTGTGACACTGACTTTATCACGTACGTACTTCGGAATCACAAAATTAGCTAATGTATGGGATTCTCACTCTATCTGTCTACTACAATCACGACGGCTTAAGGATGGCACAGTTTTACATCATCTCAGGAAAAATTTCACCGCGCAAACAAGCAAATCAATTATCCATCACACACAAAGTAGTGTTAGTTTACATGTCTAAAAGCCTATGCCACGTTCGCCACTTGTATTAGCGGTTCATGGATCCTTTAGAAAGGCTTTTTGAGCATGTCCATCTGCTAGGATGCTACCTACGATAGACCACCATTTTGTCAACAGTTTACTTCTTTTATCACTTGTGTAGGCCATGCCACTCACATTCTTGTTTGGTTACTCCTCGTAGGATAGAATTATGCAGTCCCTTTGTCTCTCCCCTGGTATCCATCAACAGTGTTCACCTCCACATTGGTTCTCTTGGCTGATGCTATAGCACACTGGGGGTGGCCGTCTGATAACCACATTGAAAAGCCTTATTCATCCCGTCACATTGAGGTACTATCTGACAGTACAGCTTTCGCTCCGCGCGACGTGCGACCCGCATGAGTCACTTTGATAGTCTCCTCGCATGTCGGTATTGTAGCACTGTTGATTCGGCTCGTACTAAGGAAAAAAGTCAAAACAGTGCAGGTGATACATCTTCGGTAGGTGTTCAATGCCCGACAGAGCCTAATCAATATGAGAAAACCCCCCGTTTTAACAACAATGTAGGCCGCTCCACTCGCCAATAAACCTGCAGTCTGAAACACAAAACATCCACAAAAACACACACACACTAACCTTGAGTCATTGAGTTCGCAAGCACTTCTGGGGTATGTTACGCATCCACATCCTTTGCACTCGTGTGGGTGTACAACGTACACCTAATATTTCCTCGTCTAAGCACTCTCTAAAAAGACACTGGATTTCGAGCAAAGACAGTACTTTAATACGGTTTGTCGCTGTTTTTTTTCGGCATTTTCGTCAACAACTGCCTCTATTACTTTTTCCCTAAGCCCATTCTCTTACCGTTCCCCACATATTGGTCCTATATACCCCACTAACCACTATGTTTATCATTAATAGCTTGCAACTGCCTATCTACCGGATTTTGTGTTAGTATTTTGATTTGATATTGTAGGCTTCGAATCAAGAAAAGTGGATCTGTCTGAAAATTGCGACATAAAATAGCGACATCAGAAAAAAGAGCCATAAATGTAGCCAACGAAATAGTGTCTGCTGCAAAAGGATAAGGTGCGCTAATAGAAACACTGGTCTTAAAAAAAATGGCCCCCGAATTATGACACTGATCTTACCCTTCGTAGGTTCTCCTCCTGGCTCCAGGTGGTGTAAATGAAACTCCCTGTCTGATCTGTGCAGCAAGATTCTCACTTCAAGAGCGTACTTCGTAAGAGCATGACCTCCCCCCAACGATCCGACATACCTCAGACAAAGTGGTGCCGATACCATTTGTATGGATACCGGTGCTCCGGCCTTCTTGCATATACTCGACTCTCTCAGCTGGGCTATTAGAGGAGCTTCAGTTCATGCACTTCCCCTAACCCTTACCCCTCATCTCTTTTTGGGACTCTCTATATACAGTGTTCTAATCATGTTTTCAAGCCACCCGCCACCCTCGTGTCATCCCAAAGCACGAAAGCGTCCCGCTGCTCAATGACCACAGCTCCCTGCTTGGTTGGAGGGGTGTAAAAAAAGAGCTGGGAGGAAAGCTGTGTATGTGAGTTGTTTTTTTGGACCGGATATCTTCCGACCTCATCTACCCCAGGCCTGAAAAGAAACTTGTACCCTGCCGGAAAAGGGGCCCTTAAGTCGTTATTTATTTTGCTTGTATTATTGTAGAATCCACCTGTTTTTCACTGTGGGAACAAAAATGAAAGTGAATGCTTATCTAATGTTCGAGATATGCTTGTTTGAAAAACAGACCATACTAAATGAGTTAGAAACAGGCATAAAAAATATCGAAAACGATCTGAGCCATGGTGTGAAACTCAGCATACACTGTCCCGTAACCTTCAGAACTGAAACATTATATAGCTATAATTATATATAGGAGTTAAAACTTGGTAAGATAGATCAAGAGTATGGCAACTAATGGCACAATTAAAACAAAAATCACGATCATAGCATGCATGTACCGCATGTAGTGCTACACTCAAAAATGTGTTCCATTGGGTTAAGGGGCCTTTTTCGCAGAGCGCGTCACTACTTTTGTTTCATGCCAAAGCCAATATATTTTATTGGTCTGGGCGAGTCTCACCCTGTTTTTCTCTTGCGTGGGTGTGAGTCTTAGACTACACCTTTCTGAAATGCTCTAAATAAAGACAAAGAGGACAACCAAGACGGTAATATAATATTGTTTGTGGCTTTTTTCTCTACGGCTCTCTATTTTCCCCATAATTTCTTTCCCTAACCGTTCTCTACCGTTCCCACCTTATGTGGTCCTATATACCCCACTAACCACTATGTTTCATTATAGCTTGCGAACTGCACTATCTACTCGGATTTGTAGTTAGTATACTACTTTTGCTGGATGATTGTAAGGGTCTTCAGGACTACAAGAATTATTATGGCCCCTTTCTATATACACCACTTAGTGAAGATTACTGCAAACATAATTTTGAACCACAATAGCATTCTTACACAGGAGCAGCATAAGCCACATTATGGTCAGTTGTGATATATACTATTATAGCATCCCGAGACACTTGTGTTGTGACATCGGCTGTGTTGGGTTCAGTGGTGATGCATGAAGAGTTAGGTGGTCGGTGGAAGAACAACCTCGTCATACACTGGCATGCTTCTCATCTGAGTGAGCTACCTGAGGAGATCCCACGCTGTAGATAAGTAAACTTGCACAGACACACACAAACGCCTACCAAGTATTGTGTATCAATGTCACTGCATCATGCACAGACTATACTCTTAGAGATGTTACCCCACACAAGCCGCGATCCTGCATCTGACTTGCTTCTTCTGCAAGGTTGTTTTACCAAACACCCCGACCAGGACTAACACAGCTGAGCCACTCCTAGAACACAATCCTCACTACTGCAGTGCCTGAAAAATTGAAAGGGTACAGTCCAGCATCCTATCTGACTGCTACCTGTTGATATGACCACAACTTCTGTTTTGGGATTTTCCACATTTCTTTTTCCGTTTTACTGGTTCCTCTTTTTCATCTTTCCTATCTCTGTTCACTGTTTCTTCCTCTTCTCTGGAGAGCAAATATTGGACTATTAAATTAATAATAATTAATTTTTATTTTTTTTTTTTTTTAATTTTAATTTTTACTGCTTATTCTTAAAATAAATGTTTATCATTTTCCCACTCTCTCCTTTCTTTTTTTCCTCCCCTTCCTCTCTCTTTCTTTTCTCTTTCTTCCCCCCTTTCCCTTTTCTTTTCCCTCCTCTCCCTTCTCTCCGCCTCTCCCCCCCCTCCCCCCCCTTCCTCTTCTTCCTCCTCCTCTCCTTCACCTCCCCCCCCTTCCCCCTCCCCCTCTCTTTTGCTTCCCCCATTTGCCTAACTTCTTTTCCCCTTCTTTCTCTCCCGCCTCTTTCTAGTCTTCCCCTTCCTCCTCCCCCTCCTTCTTCCCCTTCCTCTCTTCCTTTCTCTCTCTTTCTTTCTTTCCCTTTTTTCCTTTTCTTCTTTCTCTCCCTACCCTTTTCTTTACTTCTTCCCTCCCTTTCCTTCCCCCTTTTCTTTCCTCTTCCCCTCTTTTCCTTCCTTTTCTCTTCTCCCCTTCCTTTTTTTTCCCCCTTCCTGTTCTTTTCCCTTCTCCTTCCCCCTCCTTCTTTTCCTTTTTTCTTTCTTCTTCCTTTCCTCCCTCCCTTTCCTTCTTCCCTTCCCCCTTTCTCCTTTCTCTATTTTCCTTTTGCTTCTGCTGTCTTTTTTTCTTTTCCTCTTTTTCCTTTTTTCTTTCTCCCCTCTCTCCTCCCCCGTTCCCCTCCTGCGCTTGCCCTTTCGGTCGCGGCTGTTCCTCCCTTCCCGTCCCCGGTGTTTTCCCCCCCGGCCCTGTGTTCGTTTCTCCCGGCGCAGTCAACAGCCAGAGAGACAGGGAAATGTAGGAGGTGGGGCATGTCTAACACTGTCAGGAGTGCCCCATACTCTCTGTAGACAAGGGACACACGAGGCAGTCTGTGGAGACACCTCTGAGAATTGACAGTCTATCACAACAGTTGACCCGCTTCTTGATATGTTGCCACTCTTGAGTATTTGGGAGGCTTTTACTGAATCCATAACTGTAAATAAAGAATCACTCTAAAAAGGAAACGTTAGTACATTTAGGCAAGCCCTAAACAGAAATCAACAGCACAGGTTAAATATGATAGTGCGATAAACAGTACCATCCATCCCTGAGTGTATTATGTCTGATTCTCCAGTACAACAGCAGCATTGTGTATGGAAGTCATTCTCCTCCACATCATATCCATACAAGGTGTAGAGGGAGGAGAGGGACAGGCACAGTGGTGGAGACAATGTCCTGATGACTGGGTTCTAAGAAGTGACTCTGAATATGTCATGGAAAGGTAGGGGGTCCCTGGAGGACCACCAGACATCCTGCAGCTCGTGACCCACTCACAAACTCTCCTCTCACTTTTGCTCCTCCTCCTCCTCTTTCCTCTTCCACTGACAGACTCTGGACATCATATGTTGCTGTAAACACAAAGGAAATTGAAAGCCACAACAATGACATGTCTTACAAAAGTTGTCATAAGATACATTCATTGCCCCAGCAGTGGTAAACACTTCGAAAAAGACAGAAAAATAGTCATTTTCAGGCAATGTGTAGACTAAAAGTCTTTTATCCCCCAAATTTGAGATATTAAAATGTACAGTCTCATTATCAAGTCCTGTTACTCCATGGAGAATGTAACCACGTATTTGTTCCACATCTCCCTGTGAACAGTGAGAGGGGGTAATAGTGTAACTAGCAATATTATGTAAAATCTCTTACACAAACTTGAAATGTGACATTAACCACATCAAAATAGCTTTCAGATTTGTTCTGAAAAAGCTGATTGAAGGAGTTGCCTGCAAAACATAAAAGGCATGTACATTACAGTATAGGGAAAATAATGCAGTTACTTACAGTGACATTAGGACTACTCTCTCCCTGGCCAGCTCCATTCAATGGAACACAGAGATGTTGTAGACATGACAATGACTGGGGTAGTAAGGAGTGAAGGTGTAGTGTGTCTCAGTGATATTGATACAGTCAGTACAGAGGATGTCTGTTGGGTTTTTCTCATCTGTCACATTGTAGACCAGGACAGAGTACCAGATATCAGGATCAACATCAGTCACATCCAGAGAGAATGGAGCAGTCCAGGAAACAGTAACTGAGATGGCATTGCTGATGGCTCTCAATTTAACAACCTTTGATAGTGGACCTGGGCAAACATATTAATCATCATTTGCACACACACCAAGTACGAATTTAACCTGCTGAGATTTACTTTAGTTTGCAAAAGCATGCACTAGGTCTGAGTGAATTGATGTCACCAAGTGTTGCTGTCACTTAAAAATCTTGCACCCCCTACCCCATGAGCACATTATTTACCTTGAACACTCAATGAAACCAAGTTGCTCTCATCAGAAAGCCCACCATTTATCAAGCACTTAACTGTAGTTCCATTCAACTCAACTCTGCCAATCATTGTTAGTCGATTTTGAGGGTTCTCATTATTGATTATTAAAAAAGTATCCAAATTGCTACGCAGCTCAAATGGGAGTTCGGGTAAAGGCTTCCCATTCACAGCCCAGCTAGGGAAACCACCACTGATTTCACAAGAGAAAATTGCTGTTTGTTTTCGAAGACTGTTATATTCCTTGGAGGCTGAGTATTTCGGAGAGTTAGAAAAACATTTCTAGTATATAGTGTATAGCTTCCATATAGGTAGTATAATATTACCTTGGGCAAGTGAAAGAGACACCACTAGAAGCAAAAACATTGCAGCTTTATCTGTTAATAAAGTATACAATAATTGATAGGTTTTACTGTTGTATATTATTTACTCACCAGAAGCCATTTTGGTTGAAACGGCAGATGTTTTTCCCTGCACACAAAATAACTAGAGAAATGCAACACATTTTTGGCGAGCGAAGCGAGCATTTCAATATTTCACGTGTTTTATATAGTGCATATTTAGAGTCACGTAAAAATTACAGTATTTTGGTCCATGGACCATGGCAGATAATTAAAAATTCTGTATTCAGACACCTAGATGGTCTTGCTTCGCTCGTATGTTATGGTAAACCGGAACAAGCTAACAGCATTCTGAATGGTGTTGGTATCATCCAACCACAAGTGCATGCATTCAATTTCCTTACTTAGTGTAGTGTGAGAGCAAAGCATTTCAAGTGTGCCGTCTGTAAACAGGCTCGTAATTGCTCCTCATTCTCACCATGCCCATCTGCATTCCACCTAAGAGTTCTTTTTCACTTAGCTTTATACTGCCTAAAGCTATATACACAGAGACTGGAAGATGTCGTTACTTTTCGAATCCGACCAAACAACAATACACCGTGGCATGTTAGCTATCTGTGTATCTCCTTCTGGCAGGAAGTCTTACTATAGTTTTACCGCTTTGGATGCCATGGGCATCTCACAAGCAGAAATTGGTGTATAACGTATTAACGCCTCGTATTATAGCCATATATCAGAGCGTCGGTAGACGCTCTATGTAGGATGACCGAGTGAATCTCACGTGATCCGCATACAAAACGCCTCGAAACTCGGCGAAAATGGCTAGCTATGCCTTCAAACACACCACAAATCACTCACGGGTCCATATCTACCTATACATATGCCCAAAAGTTTCATACGTCCTGCAATTCTCG